CTACTTCACCTTCCACTTCTATTCCAAGTTCAGTAGAAAATCAAGAGTCTTCCTCGTTTGATGATTATGCTATTATTGAAGAGTCAACATCTTCACCACCATGAGCTACTACTCCATGCATTGCAAGAGACGGATCCAAAAGAGTAGTTGTACCTCCAAAGAGGTATGTTGAAGCTGATATTGTTGCTTATGCATTTATTGTTGCTGATGATGTTGAGTCTGGAATAGAGCATGTGAATTATGATGGCGTTGCTATATCTAAAGACTAAAATGAATGGATGACTACAATGCAAAGTGAGATGGAGCCCTTGCAAAGAAATGGTACTTGGCATTTAGTTCTATTCCAAAAGGAAAAAGACCAGTTAAATGCAAGTGGTTTTACAATCTCAAGGAACCTATCAACCTGGATGAGAAACCAAGGTATAAAGCTCGGTTAGTATCAAAAGGCTATAGTCAGATTCCTAGTATTGATTACATTGACATTTATTTCCTAGTTGTTAAACATACTTCTATCATGTATTGTTGGGATTGGTTGCTTCTAGTGATTATGAATTAGAGCAACATGATGTTAGTACAAATTTTTTAAATGGTGTGCTTGAGGAATATATTTTTATGCAACAACCTGAGGGTTTTGTAGTTCCTGGCAAGGAGGACTACATGTCTAAAATGAATAAATATCTTTACGGTCTCAAGTAGTCTCCTATACAATAGTATAAGAGGTTTGATTCATTCATGATCAATTATAAATTCAAGAGGTGCACCCGTGATAGTTGTGTTTACTACAAAAACAATGATGATGGTTTGATGATCTACTTACTCTTATATGTGGATGAAATGTTGATCGTAATGAAAGATATGAAGGAGATTCAGAAATTGAGCTGCCAAAAAGATTATAGGAATGGAAATTGTTCGTGACATGAAGTATTGGATCTTGCATCTTTCTCAGAAAAATTAAATTGAGAAAGTCCTAAGACGCTTTAGTATGCATGAAGCAAAACCTATCAACACACCTTTTGCAGCTCATTTCAAGTTATCATCCCGTTTGAGTCCTACTACTTAGACTGATGTGGCTTATATGGCACGCTTACCATACTCTAGTGTTGTTGGATCCTTGATGTATGTTATGATTTGTACGCACCCTGATTTGGCTTATGTTGTTAGCATGGTTAGTAGATATTAGGTTAACCCAGGAAAAGAACATTGGAAAGCAGTGCAATGGATCATCTGTTGTCTAAATGGCACGTCTTCTATACGTCAACACTTTGGTAAAAATAACACGGGGGGGGGGGGGGGGGTGCTTGGATATGTTGATTCAGATTATGCCAAACACTTAGATAAACAAAGACCAATTACAGGGTATGTTTTTACTTTGCATTGTTGTGCTATTAGTTGGAAAGCCCATTTACAGTTTATAGTTGCTTTGTCATCTACTGAAGTAGAGTGTATGGTGATTACAAAAGCAGTTAAGGAAAATATTTGGTTGAGGGGTTTATTTAGTGATCTCGATGATAGATTAAAGGTTACCATGGTATTCTATGACAATCAAAGTGTTATCTTCTTGAGTAAAGATCAAATGTTTCATAACCAAACAAAGCACATTGATACCTGTTTCCATTTTGTGTGGGGTATCAATGAAAAAGGTGATTGTATGGTGGACAAGATTCATTCAAATTATAATCTCATTGACATGTTTACTAAGAGTCTTCCTATAGCAAAGTTCAAATTATGTTTGGACTTGGTGGGTGTTTCTGACCGCAATTAAGCCTAAATCGCTCATTGGTGGAGGAAGTAATTTTCTTTTTCAGAATCAATTTTTTTCTAAATGGTGATTGCATGTCCTTATGGAGTTTTGGAGTTTGATGAACTATTAGTGTTTAATGTTCTTGGGTGATTGTTGGGCAAGTTGCAATTTTCATTGTCTATTTTGAAGTCAAGGTGGAGATTATGGAAACATGTCTTCTAAAATTGACAAGTTCTGCTTAGTTCAAGGGCTACATTGTCTTTCCAGAAATTCAGGTCTAAAATGGTTGTTTTAGGTCTAAAAAGGGCACTAGATATAAAACGGGTGTCTTCAGGTTTAAAAAGAGCTTATTTTTGAAATGTATTTACTCCATTCTTGAAGGGCTAAATGTATGAAATTGGGAACCCTTTTTAATCTCATTGAACACAGGAAAATAATGAGATAGAAAGTTTTAAAGACTTCTTCTTATTCCTTATTGAGCAAAATTTTCTAAGGTTTTTCCTCTTTATCACTAAATTATTATAGCTCATTGCAATCTCTTTGATCAAGCAATGTAAACACTACAATATTTTTAGTGTATTGGTTCCCAACTTCCTCCGCTCATGGTTTTTTCCCAATTTGGATTTTCCATGTAATTTATTTGCCTCTTTGATTTGCTTTTTGCTTGATATTTTTGATTGCATGTAATTGATTGTGGTTTGATATTTTAGTCTTATTCCGCTTGAATTAATATTTCTCTCGTGATTCAGATTTTTGGGTTGTATGATACATTAGGGCTTTTTCGTTTTAGTGCATCTTACCATTTTTGTTTAATATATATATATATATATATATATATATATATATATATATATATATATATATATATATATATATATACTATTAAGTTATAACTATAAAAATATAAAAATGCATTGAAAAAATTATATAATTGTTAAAACGTATATTTTAAAAATAAAATGTCATTCAATATATATTATATACAATTAATTAATAAAAAATATAAATATTTAAAACTAAAATATAATTAAAAACTAAAATAAATTATGATTAAAATATAATTTATTTTTATAAAATTATTTTTAGGTTGTGGGTCAAGGTCCATCATCTCAGTCGACCCATTATATTCTCATGAAGTCCAACAATTATTAAAGTCAGCCCAATCACTTTAATCCTTTCAATTCATCTCAATAAAACCCCTACTTATACTACAATTTTAAAAGTCTGTCCTTGCCTTTTAACACAAGAAGCCCTATTCACCAATGAGTTAGATCCATTCTTTAAACCTAGAAGGTTAGAATTGCTTTACCTTTTTTACACTTCAATTTATTTATTTACTTTTCTAAAAGACACACTCTTTAATCTATCTTAATTATCTTTAAACTATATTATTATGTCAAACATAACTTCAAGTTCAACTATTTTGCTAAAAGACTTAAACAATATACCCACAATCTAATCTACTGTTTAATTACACCATTATCCTATATAAGACTTCAAATCTTCAACTACTTCGGTTTAAAGACATCATATTTAAAATAAATAAATAAATATAAAGATTTAGTACATTACTAAATTGTTTACATTAATGCATAATACATAATATATAAAAATTAAAGTTCTTTATTAGGTCAAAACAACAATTTTGAAAGATAAATTAAATATCTTTTTTCTTATTTAAATAAAATAAGGGATAATGACAAATATATTCTTCGATTTGTACACATTTGGTCACTGAGTTTATTTTTTGTTCATATTTACCCCTTCAACTGTTAAACTGTACACATTTAGTCCTTATAACCGGTTATTTCAGGTTAACCAGTAAAAATGTCTTAATATGGTAATATATTTCTCATTTTGTACACATTTAGTCCTTAATATTTTTTTGTTTCAAAATAAGTCATTTTTTGTTTTTGTACAAATTCAGTACTTATGAATAATTTATTTAAGGTTTTTTCTCACATCTTACATGGAACAATCATTAACGAGGTTTTTTAGGTTTTTGATGCGTATGTCTATCGCGATCTCGACTACTTGGTTGCTTAGGTCATGTGTTTTTAACATCATAACCTTTTCATACTATCTCGGATTTTAACGATCCTTATATCTATGTGTTTGTATTTTAGTCTACTACAACTTTTGTTTATATTACTCCCGTTAAAAAGTAATATATTTTTTAATTACGATCTTTATATCCATACAGTTTTATGAATGCATGTATAAATGTTTTTTTATAAAATCGTAAGTAAACAAATATTATATTTTAACAGGAGTAATTTTAACGAAAGTTATAGCAGACTTAAAAAACGAACACGTAGATATAAAGATCGTTAAAATCAGATGTCGTATGAAGAAGTTACGATCGGAATACAAAACCTAAGCCAAACCACAAGATATATGCAACCAATCAGTCGAGACTGTGATGGACATAGGCATCAATAATCCCAAACACCTCATCAATCAAGGAAGGATGCAAGATTTGGTAGTAGGTATTGCCGGTCAGTAGTAGATGTTGCCGGTAAGTAGAAAAAAGAAAAAAAATATCGAAAAATTTACACTGCGTATAGAAAAAAACAGGGGCAGTCGGTGCCACTGCGGGCACCCAAAGAGAACCGTCACCGTCTTCAATGATAGTCTCATGTTAGATGTCGTGGGAAAAAAAAACCTTAAATAAATCATTCATAAGTACTGAATTTGTACAAAAACAAAAAATGATTTATTTTAAAACAAAACAAAATATTAAGAACTAAATGTGTACAAAAATATTAAAGACTAGATATGTACAAAATAAGAAATATATTATCCTAATAAATTATTTTTTCGAACTGAATGTATATAGTTTAACAAATTGAATGGATAAATATGAAGAGGAATAGATATGTACAAAATAAGAAATATATTATCCTAATAAATTATTTTTTCGAACTGAATGTATATAGTTTAACAAATTGAATGGATAAATATGAAGAGGAATAATGACATAAAATCTATACGTTTAATCGCATCTTTTGATTTCAACATTTCTTTCTCTTAATCTACTCATTAGGAAAAAAGAAAAGAAGGATATTTAATTTTTCTTTTTAGAAAACTAATTTATATTAATTTATACAAGTCATGATAAAAAATGATTTCCCTTTTTAAAAAACTAATTTATATAAGTCATGATAAAAAGCAAAAGCACATTTTGTTTAGAACAAACATGATATTTCGATTATCCCAAAGAACCACTCATCTTTTTAATAAAGACACGTTAGCAATTCGATGACGAATATTAATTTCATAGAAACCCGAAACTAAACAAATCAAATAAACTTGATCAATGAAAATCAAAGCTGCTTCTGCTACAAGTTACCAAAATTTTTTACAATTCTTCGTCTAATCTTATATTAATCAAAGTCCTATACTAAAAAAAACCTTCTTCACTGCTGCTTCATCTATATAATATACCAAGTCAAGATCAAGAAAAACCAGAGATTTTCCTTTTTCTCAGCTCATCATCATCATCATCGCCGATTCTTCCTCATTCGGAGTCATGTTTAGATCCGGTAATTCAAATCCTCGTTTAGTTTCTTCTTCTTCAACTACTCTAATAGATCTGATTCCCACTGTTCTTCCCATCGGATTTTTATCAAAATCGATCTGAACAAACAATGTATCAGTTATAATCTGTTGCATATTTAACCATTTTCGTCGTTTAGAATCAAAATTAGGAATTTAGGTTACCTTAATTCGTTTCAAATTCTCACTTTTAGCTATTTCGTGATTCAAATTCGAACGCATCGACGCTAATTCCTGTTCTTCGTCTTTAAGCTCGTGAAACGACTGCAAAAACATCAGATCGGTGAGCCGGGTCGGGTTTTGGTGTTAAAAGAAGGATCTCAAAGAGCAAGAAGAAGATGAATCGGGTCGGGTTATGTACTTGAAAGCGTATAAAAAGGAATCCGAAGAACAAAAAACTAACCTTTCTTCGATGGGACTTTGATGTGGAAGCAACTTCGTTTGCCTGCAGATATAAAGAAAAGTAGGATTGATTTAGAAGAAAGAAAGTTGTAAATTTACATTTCTACCCTTTTGGAAAGGAATATTATAAAGACAAAAAGATATAGCCGACAAACTCTCACATAAATATATCCAAAACTCGTGATTATTCCCTTCGGTATTTATTATTTAAAAAATAAATCAATTTTCAAAAAGATCCATGTAGGATCCGGATTCAAGGGCGATAAATTAGTATAATATAAAAAAGGAAATAATACTAAACTAAGTTGAAAAAATAGATGACGACGAAAAAGACAAAAGTGCCCCTGGCCTTTCAAACTCCTACCCTTCTCTTTTGCTTTAGGCACGTCAAACCCTATCCCCAGTTCCCCACTACAAAACGTGACTTACATGGATGTAAATTAGAACAAAGGGTAAGGGCAAAATTGTCCATAAAAAAATATTCATCTTTCTTGGATCTTGATGCGCTTTGTTTAGTTAAAAGTCACAACTCGACAACAACATTTGTCTTAATTACCAAAATACCCCTCTAAGTCACCTTACAAGCAACAGGAAAATTAGACTTTAGAGTCCTTTTTCAGTTAGCTTGCGGAATACTTTTACCATCGGCTATGTAGTGACGAAGGGTATTTCAGTCAATATGAAAATAAAGAAAGTGGAAGTCAAATCCCGCGTATGGTAAATTAGTGATAAATTAAGTAGAGAGAAAAGGGTAATTTAGTAAAAAAGCTTCATAGTAATTGTTTTCATGCATTTATTTTCCCAAGAAAAGAAAATAGTGTAGGAAACGCCGATCGGCCGGAAAAGTTCTGGTGTGGCAGAGATCAGGTCGACGGCAACCAGATTTTGGGGGAAAGGAGAAAATTTTCGAGAAATAGTTGAAGAGAATGTGTAATCGAAAGACAACGTCGGGTACACCGGTGAAGTCGATGTAATTTTCCGACGATAGATAGAGAAAAAATCGGTGGAAGAAAAGAAAAAGAAGAGAAATCTGATTAGAGATACAAACCTTGACGGATCTGCTTCCCGATGAGAGATCTGAAGGCCGACTAGATTCGTCGTATCCATCGCTTGTTGAGCCGCCACCACCGCTCCACGACAGATGTGTGGTAGGGCTACCACGGTGTTCTTTACCGAATCCGTTTGAGACGGTGGTCGTCGGAGCCGTGGATTTCGATCGATTCTTCCGATGGCCCCAGCTGAAGGATGGTAAGAGCGTTGTAGACTTTATAGTTGCTTTCGACGAATCTGAAGAGGAGGAATGATTCATCCGTAACAGAAGCTCCGCCACCATCGCATCGTTCGTAAGCGCCGCCTCCAACCACTGGTCCTTCGTCATCTGAGCTATTCCGATTCTTCGCAGCCTCCGTTACAAAGAGATGATTCGAGGAGCTTCACAGATTGGATGGATGTTTGTTTAGAGAGAGAAAGGGGAGCGTTGAGATGTGGAAATGGGGGATGAAGGGTGGTGGAGAGATGAAAAAGGCTTTTATAGGATCTGTTGATTGAATGAATTATGTGCGTGGATACGATTTGGGTTTTTTATGGGTTGCTTAAACAGAATAGTAATAAATTGTTATCTTATTATTGATTTGGAAACTTATTATTTTTTGGGGTGATTACAAATATAACTAAATGAAATGTGTACTGTCATTCAACCCCACACAAATGATAGTGGATTTAATATTTAAAAAAAAAAAAAAGTAGATGAACTTGTTTAGTTTGTGAAATTAGCATACAAATGGTTTTATAATACAGCTTAGGCTAAATTTATAAAGACAAAATTGCAAAAATGGTACCTTTGGTTGACAAATTTATGTGTTTTTTTTGTTTAAAACGAAATGTTGGTACACGACTGGTACAAAATTTGATTTTTCTATCGTTTTTGGTCCTTATGGTTGGTATTATTGTATGGTTTTGGTCAATACCCTACCTGAAATGACAAAAATACCTTTAATTAATTCTTTTTTAATAATTCTTTCTATTAATTTCTTATTATCTCAATTAAAAACAAAGATAAAATGCCAATTACCCACCCCAACCCTCCTAATTTCTTTTTAATATTTGGAACCACCACCACATGGTCACCACCACCGACAAACCGCCATCCTCCTCATCGGAACACCATCGTTCTCCTTTGACACCCAATATAATACATGTATAGGAACCTCTTTAAACCACCCTTATACCTCTACCACTAGCCACCTACATCATGTATGACCACCTACACCACACCAGCCGAACAACCCCCTACAACCACCACTTATTTTGAACATTTTATTCCAGCCATTTGTATCATCACCACCAAGATGAACCCTAATGTAAAGATGACGATTTATTCAAGTATATGGTGTCTAGGTTTGTGTACCCTTGATTTGGCGAATGCATAGATGAATTGACAACATGGAAATGTTTCCTAGTCCATACCCTTCCCTTTCCAATATCTAGAAATCGAAAATTATTATAGAAAGCATATCACCTGTCAAAATCAGAGTAAGGGAGAAGTATGGAGGGACTGTAGGTGGGTCAATCAACGTTTGGATGAACACAATTTTCGAATGGAGAACCAGGTGAGTGATGGTGGTTTTTTATAGCAATACAGGTGGTGGTAGTTGATGATAGTTTTCGCCCCCCCCCCCCCCTTCTGCACCACCGGCGTTCATATCTATTAAATTTGTTTATGTATTGATTTGGTAGTGGTAACAACATAAGAGACAGAAAAGAGAGACGGAGAACTTCTCAATCCAGATTTGTATCTCGATTTGGATAAACTCCGGTGGGTGGCGATGTTGAAGGTTGACGGCGAGAATGGAGGTTGTGGAAGACCAAATTTGTAGCAAAGAAGTGTTGGCGGTGGTGAACCAGATACCACCCATCGATCATGTTTTTCCAGCGATTATGGTGGCCGACTATGAAAGGGGAGGTGGCAGCATCTGGCTGCGGGTGGCTATAGTGACTTCCCGATGTAGAGGTTGAAGGTGTACGGCTGAAGGAGTTCTATTGAACGTGTACGATTGAGCGTATACGGTTGGAACGTGTACGGTTGTGTGTACAGCTAAGTATGCAGCTAAATGCGTACGGTTGGAGCTTGTACGACTTAGTGTGCGGTTGTGAGCATGCACGGTTGAGTGTGCGGTCACAAACTCCAGCAGATTGAGCATCTTAATTGTAAACATCTTTCTTGTTAAAGTTTTCGATCTGTTCATTTCTAAAAGGCAAGCAAGAATGGACTCCCACATCTCATTAGCTCATCATGAATTGGACACCATAATGGGAACCACCACTCGAATTCCTCGGTTGTTATCCGCCGAAGGATTTACAAAATGGAAGTACCGAATTAAGAAATACATCAAAATGAAAGATTTTAAGGTTTGGCGAAGCATTCTCAGAGGACCAATCAGAGTCACTACTAATCTTCCGAATGGACAAGTGATTGACAAATTGTATGTTGGTTACACTGATGAGGATTTCGAAATGGTTGAAGAACAGGAAAGGGCAATGGCTACTTTGACTATGGCATTATCCCCCGATATTGCTCAAGGATTCAGAGAATACACTTCAGCCAAAGCTCTATGGGAAGCTTTGATTGAGGTCTACGAGGGAAATGAAGATATGAACGATTTACTGCACTCATTACTGAGATGAGCATAGCTGAGATTTACTTGACTAGATCTGAGATAAACAAAAAGTTGTTGAATTCACTTCCGAATTCGTGGGATATGAATGTGGTTGTCATTAAGAAGACAAAATATCTCAATCGTCTCAGTCTTGCTGAAACAATGGCATTCATTAAAGCATGTGATCTTGATGATAAACAACAAGAGATTAATCATGTGAATTCCTACTCGACTGCAAAATCTTGGGATTTCTTCAAATAATGCTTTTCATCCTTCACCTCCTCTCCAAGTCAAGCTTTTGTTGTTCAACAACCTCATAATCAAACCTTTATCACTCTATCAGTTACACCATTTGTTGGTTCTTCATCTATGTCTCACACACAAAGTCAGTCCTTCTTTGTTCCACAAGTTATTTCCTCCTCCAATGCATCAGTTATGGTCCCTGCTCCAAATTCCAAACAAAACGATGAAAACTTAGCTCTTGCCACTGGAATTGTCAATTGCTACAATGCTTTGTAGCTAGAGAGCTTCCACCTCAACTCACTTTTGCTGAGAAGACGGGAAATAATAACTGGGGAATGAATGCGGATAAGAAGGTTGGGTTTAACAAGGGAAAGTTGCGTTGCTACAATTGTCACGAGCCGAGTCATTTTGCTCGTGAGTGTCCTAAACTAGACATAAAGGTCAATAGTGATCGAACAATGGTTCCATTGGGAAATAGTCGTGGAAATGTTGTTGTCAACAATGAAACTACAAATTTGGTAGTGGTTGCTCAGTCCTTTGACTGGGAGAACCAGATTCAGGCACTTCATATTTTAGGACCAGAAAATGCTCACTTGGCTCAAATCAATGATACTTCGGTTTGAGTTGTTTTTGTTATGAGTTGGGTCTTACAGTTGGGGATAGAGAAATAGTTAATGCAGTTGACTGTCTTCAAGTAATTAGGTTGCATAGTGGAATTGGTTAGGTTCCGAGTGGTCTCTCGAGTTTTCTTCATGGATGCTTTGTTTCTATGAAGTGGATGAAGGAAACATATAGATTGTGTTGGTACTGTTTTTAAAAATTCTAACTGAGTCGGATTTTGAGGACAAAATCTTGTTTAAGTGGGGGAGAATTGTAACATCCAATTTTAGGATGTTTCTAATTTTCGGGTAATGAACCATTATTTGATTGAGTAAAAGTCTTGGGATTTAACGGAATAAATTTTAGACCCTGTTGGATGTTGATGATGATGGTTAAGTTATTTAAGCCCTAGAATTGCGCTTTGGATCTAAGGGTGGTGTAACATCTAGTTTTTAGGTATTATTCTTTTGGATTAATTATCTTAAGTATTGAAGTTTTTAGGTATTTTGACTGATCACGGCGTAGTGTTGGAGAACCTCTACATCTCAACCACATCATTAATTGGCCACATCATTTAAAGTGACCACGACATGGTCAAAGGTTAGCCACAATGCAGTAGTAGATGGGTTCATAACCCTAGGTCTCGGGCATTGGGTTCTATTTAACAAACCTTATGTTTATGGTTGCTCTCATTACTTACCTTCATTCCCCACAAAGAAACCCTAGGGCGCACGTGTGTGTATGTGTGTTTGGTGTTTTAAGCATTAGAAGTAACCTTTTAAGGAAGAGTAGTGGTTATGTTGCTTGAAGAAGGTGTTTGGGACTTCAGATCTTGCATCTCATGCACCTTGTGGAGCTTTGGAAGGTATACAACTTCCATATTGATTTTTTATGGTTTCCATTTCATGCATTAAAGTCCCTTTAAATCCTTTATAGGAATGTTCTTGGAGTTTTGAGCAACTCCAGAACCTTAAGCTTAGTTGGTGATCATTCATGGACTATATCTGTTGGAGAAAGTGTCAAGTCTTGGCCTCTTTGAATCATGCACATGTTTTGGTTATTATGTAATCTTAATAGTGTTAGTTTTTGTGTTTGGAACTTGGATTGGTGGTATAATAGATAAAGTCAAGAACTTTATCCATTAAGTCCCTTAAGAGCTTTAGATTTGAGCATTTGAGCTCTAGACATTAAGGGTTTGGTGCTTAATATAGTAAGTTGTTTGGACGTAACCGTGGCGTGGAGAAGGCTTTACCATGACTCGGTGGACTAAGTAGTCACACAACTGTTTTGTCGTTTAGCAGTCACGACGCGACCAGGGGCTGGTCACGGTGTGGTGGTCTTAGAAGGTTGATCATTGACTTTGACCATTGACCATTGACTTTTGATTAAGTTTGGATATGGGTAAGGCCTTAGGGTTATAGGTAATACGATGAGATTTGACATTTAATTATACATTTAGGTGGTTGTTGTACCTTCCATCACGTTTTGCGCGCTGTAAGGGTTTTCTGCTTATATCATATGTTGTATGTGAGCTGTTAATAACTTGAGGTTGATGATAGCCCAAATGGTCGTATGTGAGTTGTTGATTGCTCGGGGTTGCTAATAACCCAAATTGTTGTATTTGAGTTACAGATAAGTTAGGGTGGCTAATAGCCTTGATATGTAATATTTAAGCTGTTGATGACTCAGGGTTGCTGATAACTCATAGTTATTTTTATATGCTTAGTTGTGCTGTATTATATGTGATACTTTGGAGAACTCACTAAGTATTCGTTTATAGTTGTGGATTAAACATTTTCAGGTATTTCGATGATTGTGGGAAGGCGAATGCATGATTGTACACACACATCAACATTTTTATGATTTGAGATTCTGAGCTACTTTCGTTATAACTCTGATTTATAGATTTCTGTTTTATGAACCATTGGTTTTGTTTTGAATGTACCTTTGTAAAAATGAGTGTTTATGCTAGTTTATAAATGAAAATTT